AATATAGCCGTATAGACAAAGGGTGTAATTCTCCACACAAGTGTTGGACTTCAATCACGTAAGCAACTTTCACGAAGATGAAACAATGGATATGACAGGTTAGCATACTATAGCAGTCCTCGATGTTCCAAAATGGAGCTCGGAATGCATGTCCATGCAAGCTTTGGTACTGTGCCGATGTTAAAATAACGTCGACTTTAATAACGTTATCAATTACTTCGATCAGACGTTATTCCCTCGAAATCTACTAATAATCATCGTCGTTTCAACCTCATTTGCCTGGAGAAGATAGCAAGCAGGGCAGCACGGGCCCGACCGGCAAGGTTTGCCCCGTACCTGATTCGTGCTTATATTTTGTCTAACAAGTTATGGGAGATGTAAAACAAAGGGCACGAGTTTACGAGTCAAGATAGGATGATGGTAAACACATCAACAGTTTATGCAAGGCTTGGAATACCTTGGCAAGGGAGAAACATACGAGAAAAATGTTTCGAGAAAGCCGGGAGTCGGTCTCATGAAGGCCAAATATTTACCAAGTTCTTCCCATGCTGTAACAGAGATCGTATCTATAGACAGAGTTCGTTCATACAGTTTACAGATGATTCATAAGTCCTGAAATATTGTCCGCAGATACAATAAACAATTTAGGTACAGGTACCCAGTTGCGGAATCAAGAATTTGTCATGACAGAAAGCGGGGCTGATAAAAATCGTATCCTGTTTTCGAAAATATTATGATGAACAAAATTACCTAGCACACTTGCTATAAGTCCAAATAATAACGTTCTAACATCATTCTGTATGCACAAAATGAGCCGTCTGGTTAACAAGTGAAATACAAGCGACGTTGAATATAAGAGTCTCACGTGATGGGGAGATAACCATTCAAATTAATTAAGGCGAAAAAAGTTGCGCTGTTTCGATGAAAACACTCATTAAATTTGTAAGGAACTACAACTTCAACTGAAAGCACTTGACGCTGGATGTGACCAACCCATCAAGTCTGCTTAACAAAACCACCGCTGCAGTCTTCCCTCATGAGGGTGAAGTGGTTAAAGAATAAAAAATAATCGAACAGAACGACTGAGATCTTTCCACGTACTCGGCTGGCCCAAGTTTCTTAGGAAATGAGTCAACCGCAGAGAATATTTTTTATTACCAGAGTCACTCGTAAAAGAGCAGCTATAGAGCAAAAATGCGTCAAAATTCATATGTGCGATCGTCACTGCTCTCAGATAATGTAATGACGATGACACACACATACACCATTAGAAAAAAATCCACCTTGCTAATGAATATTTGCTACTCCAAATTGACGACACTCTGTAAACGAAACCACGTATTGATCTTAATCAAATGATAAGTAGCAATGACACGTTCAGTGAAAATCGAAGCTGAAAATTAAATGAACATTTATTCAACCAAATCACGTAGTCGCGCAGCTACACTCAATTAAAATTTATGAATGCATGATGCGTACATCATAAATCGAATATCGTTAGTAGATACTTATTTGGTCAGGCCTGGATAAACCCGGGGCAGGTGTAGAGGTTCATTCTGAAGTAGCAGAAACTTGGTGGCTTTGTTCGTAGTGATGTGGTTACCACAATGGCTCGATAATTATTTCATCATTGAATTAAAAAAACACACGCGAATGCTTTGGGATCCAGCAAAAGATTTGAAAAAATCTTCATGGCTTAAGAAATTGATATAATTTGGGTGGCTTTATTGCAGTAGCAGCCAGGCTTTCACTGAAGTTTTGAAGGCAAGTTGGGGCAGATGGCTGCATGAGATGTGCTGCCTTAGAGAACAGGAAGGCAAGACTTGCCCATCTCTATCATAACAGAGCGGAGAAGAAGCTTACTCATCCACACGTTTGGCCGTTGGTATAGAAGCACAAAAAAAAGCAACATAGAGGTTCAGTAACAATATGATGAGCGTCGAAAAACAGACCGCCCCTACTTGACTCAGCCACTTCAAAGGAAGCTCGGTGCGGAGACCAAAAACAGGATATGCATTTCATGAATGAATTATTATTTACGAGTTAGATTGAGAATAAAAATACTGTTTTCATTTTTAATGATCTTGAAAAAGGGTGATTGCAGAAGTTAAGACGTAATTAGAATTCCTTACGTTTAAATCGTATGCTCCGACTTGGAACATACTTGTAAATTGGGCAACGGGTAAATCATCTCTTAGGTATATTAATTCGTAGCAATCAAACCAAAGCGTTACTAATTAGCCCTGCATATTAATTCACTTGCATCGTACGTGCGAAGCGTGACACGGTAGTGCTACTGCACGATTAAGTAAGTTTACACACAATAAATATCTATTCGTACGTTACGTATTGTTAACATTTTGAATCGTCTGGTACGTTTAGATCGTGAAATTCAAAAAAAGATCGTTGAAGTCTTGCACGTCAAATCAGCACCTGCAGACAGACGGGAACACATCATCACTATTTCGGGTTACATACGGATGAATATTACTATACAATTTATACACATATATGAGAAATTTCAATCAAAGAGAAGAGTTAGTATTAACTGTAACTATGTCTACTAAACAAGGTAGCGCACACGTTTGATTGATAATTATAACCAGAGAATGCATGCGCGTATTAGTATACCGTACATAAGATGGCAGAATTTGTTCTATTATACACTAGTTTGATCGATGACAAGAGTAAGCATTTGAAAAATTGTTTCCAGTTAGTTTTTTGAGAAGTCGAAACGTCAAAAACACCAGCCCAGACTTAATTTTCAGGCACCGGGACTCCGGGAGTTGGCGCCAGTCGTGCATGGGCGGTCGCCGCAGTCTCCGGAAATCGGTCGAGTTTCTTACGACGCACCGCAGCACTGAGATATAATTGCGTCAATGTTACGCACCATTCCCAGAACACGAGGAGACAAGATACGATTGAAATTTTTGTTATATTGGTGTCTATTTCTGTTGTTGAAGGTGGGGAAAAATCACTATAACGAAGTCCTTAAAGGCAACGCCCAGAGACCCTAATCCACCCAATTAGTTAATGATGTAAGCAGAGAGACATGATAGGATTGAAAACCATTATATTTTAGTTTATCTTGGTTATTAAAGGTGATAAAAATTTATTATTAACCAACTTGCAAAGCAGAGAGTTTTTTAGACTCTCCCTCAAGTTCATTTTTGAGTCCTATAAGTAGACCAGTAAAGTATCATGGATACCAGCATTACCTTACATAAGAAATTGGTTTAAGTCTTGAGTAAATGAGGAAATTAAAAATGAATTGATTCTAAAAAATCTCTGGTTTGTCACTATGTTATAACCAAGTCCTTCAAACCAAGGCAAATTAGGCAACACCGAAAGATCCTAAGCTATTTAGTTAGTGATATCAGTAGGTGCACAGGAAAATTGATTATGGATCATATTTTGTGCATTCTTTCTCTCATATTTCCAGACATTTATAGAGAGTTACATCAAAGGGACCACATAGGAAGCATAAAATTTAAAAAGAGGAAGGTGCAGATTTTTATCTACAACATTAATCATGAAAATGGATCTCAAATTAAATTATTATACATAAAAATTGTCATAAATTAAAAACAAAATTAGATCCTAAATTATCAAGGATCTAATTATTTTTTCACATTAAGTTAATGCAAATAATGGAACAATGTCTTGTACTATGAATTGAACACCAAGTGACCACAATTACCTTTAAGTTTTCACCTCATTGATTGTGGCAACTAAGGTGGAAGACTCTTGACAAAAATTTGCACTAAGTTAATGCCAAAATATTTCCCAGTTTCCAACATAACAATCAGACATATTTTTATGTGTGACCTAAGTCTGGCCAATGCTGATTATGTGATGAAAAAATTGGATGCTCTAAAATGCATCTAACTTAGGCAAATAATTTAAAAGAAACAATTCCATCAAGCATGACTGCATTCTTTGATTTAGAAATCTGCACAGACTAATGCTGGTTTTTGAAACTGAAACGTGAGAAATTTCAAAATTTGAGCACTTAACTGTTTTTCATACAAAGAAAACTAAAGCTTATGAAACAGACCTGAATCAATCAAATCAATCTATCCCAGAATATTTTATTGCTAAAATCTATGTATGTGTAGTGTAGTCATGATATTACTGAAAAATTGAGTCTAGGCTTCAAGGAACTTATATAGATGTATAGCATAGATGAAATAACTATTCACTACTATATCTGATGCAGTGCATCTGCTACATGCCTGCATCACCCATGAGAAATGAAATGACAATACAAGTTTATTAGCAAAAAACATGAACTTAATAGGTCAAAAGTTATGGTTATGGTCACTAACAGACACTATGATTTGGCAAGGAATCTTATTACAAAACTGTTATGTTAAAACATAATTCTTACAGGCCCAGAATTTATTGAAAAACTGATTAAAAATTCAAAAGAAATACGATACCTCAAAAGTCTCACTCAGTTGAGAACTTGAGACCAAATGGTTAAAACAAACTGAAAAAATTTCAAAATATAAGGTTAAATGAACCACTTCGACTAAAAATATTAATGATTAGATTAATATGAATGAGGGAAGAGTTGTTAGAATTTATTCCTTTCGAGTATCCATGTTAATCGAACGTGAAAGCAAAGCGGACCAACGGGTCACGCGGGTGTCCCGGGCAGTAAAAGTAATTCCAAGGCTGGCCGCTGGCTGAATGAGATTAGGGCTAAGCGCTTCTAAGACTCAAGTTATGACAAGTTTCGTGTTTTACTATAGCGTCATAATAGCGATTAACTATAAGATGTATATCCAAACAAACAGCAATACCAGGGCATTTATACTTTTTAGTTCTGTCATTTCCGGCTGCGTAAATTCGAGCGGCGAAATCTATTGGCGATCAGCTGTTCGCAAACCTCGTCGCAGTTTTCGGTCTTCGACCTCGCCAAACTCCTCCTTCGATCGATTCGCTTTACGTTTCCTATACAAATTTCCCTATTTACTTTATGAATCATTGCTCACCTCGTCTTCTTTAGGGTGAACATGGTCGCAAGTGCGGGAATCGTGAGACCGTAAAGGTGAAATCTGTAGAGCAATCACAAGCAGCAGAGACAAGAGCCGCCACCACCTGCCACACATCTTGCCATCTCTCAACTGAACAGCGCACACTCACGCTAGTGGCCACTGGCCACATACCAATATGCGGCGAGAACAGTGCCTCCTCCCGCAGGTGCGGCTATCGGAAGAGCTTTGTGAGATGAAGTTTATAAGTTACTTTGTTGCCTAGTGACGAAAAGTCACGGATCGTTTTCACGCCAAAAAATTCTTAGCAATGTAAAATCACAATTATCATACTTTAACACAGTTGTGTTTTTGCAAAACATCTAACTTCATCCTCGGGGGTGTTTGGTATAAACTGGGTGTTTGTATATGCTGCCTCTGACACTATACAAGATATCTCAAAATATTTTTGATTAATTGCATATTAGATCTTTTCTTTAATCAAAAAAGAAATGTTTTTTTAATAATACGATGACACTTTCAACTGATGAAGTTCACTTCAAAATTGCCGCACCAAAAAGTTTAGTACGAGCCGAAATATTGGGTTGCAAAAATTACCTTGCCACAAAGGTAAAATAGGAATGATCAAAGAGTTAGGATGCGATGCTTCATTAAACGTGCCCAGGAAATTTGACGCCGGTGCGCATCTTGTCAAATTATAGCTGGCGTCATATATTAGTTGAAAAATATAAAATCTGGCTGTCGTAAAGGGTGCCAGTGAAGTTTAATTTGAGAGTGTCCAAAACTACTGGATAGTTAGCACATAATAATTGTAGAGAAAATGAGTTTCCTTGCATCAGCTAATGGGTCGCAGCTCTCCTAATTAATTAATGGCAGGATTTCGGATATTCTCGTAGGTATTCTAGTTGCCAGGTACGCGAGAGAGAAAGAAAGCTTGCAATAGGCCAAACGGGTTTGATTCAAATTATACGGCATGTTTTCAACCGAGGTTATAACGAAAACTGCGACGAAATATAAGCTTATACTGGTCTTCGGCCTTGCCATTTAAAAATGTAGACCATATGCAAGCTTAATATCTGTGCTTAGCGTTGCAACGTCAACAACGGTTGACTTTAGGTAATAAAACAATTGATGTATAATAGAAGACAATAAATTAAGCTTTCACATTGAACAAATCCAGGAGACTATTTTAAGCGATTTACAGATGAAGTGATTGCATGTGTAATGATAAAATTAATATAAATAACAACTAACAACAAATCTTTGGTATTATCTACACCATAAAAACAGTAATGGAATATATCTCACATGCGAGAATTCTACAACTGTCGCGATACTGAAAACCGTCCTGTAGAAACAAACACAAAACGATACCATGTATGAAGAAATAACAGATACCAGTTAAGAAAACGATACCAGATATGATCTGATACCAAGAAAGATATGTAAGATATATATCGTTCAGATATGAACGATACCAAGAAAATGTTTCAACATTCTTCGTAACGGATTGATTTTCATGTCTGTGCTTCGCAATTGCGATGGTAGGGAAGAGGTCATGAAATATAATTAATAAAATCGTAAACGAAGCAGTAGAAATTTAGCGTAAGTGATACTTTTACAAATCCATTTCGATCGCATAATTACATCTGAATATTTTCCATACAGAATCACATGAATTTTTACAAGGGCTACACCTGATACCCAGAGCACAATCAACACCGAACAAACAGACAACCATAATATTTATTTAACAGCAAAACGTGAATACTTGCTCAGGACGCTGACAATAAATGACTACACGACCAATTACTCCCGAATATAGCGCCAGCCCCGAATTCCAAACAGAAGAACAGTAACGACCGAAGTTGCAGTTGGCAAACAATGGTTGCATACATGAACTCAGATCGTAGAGATATGAATTGGACAAAAATGATAACTTTAACTTTAATCGTTTAAAGTTGATCTCAAAGAAAATATTTCAAGTAGTGTCTGATTACTGCATGAAAAACGAGTGAATAATTCTGTAAAGAGTTTAACTAATCAGTATTAGACAGAGAAGCAGACTCGTGCAATACTAATGGCTGCACAATTTAACTCTAAACAGAACTTTCTGTACATTCTTTAAAGGTATAAAAATAACAAAAACCTTCTTCGCTGCAATAACTTGGGCCCGGAAATACAACACAACCCCGATATCGAAACATCCTTGAATTTTAATAAAATGCTTTGGGCTCATTTTGTCAAAGAATCTTCACGAGTAATTGAATCGAAACTTCGTAATGCTGAGAGAATAAATTAGCTTCACTATAATCTATGGGATGTTCGTGTGGTGCCCTCAACAGCAGCCTCGACGGACTCGAGGAAGGCGGGGGTGTTGAGGATATGAGTGCCACCGAGCAGCACCCTGGCACTGGGCGTGGCAGTGCCACCAGCAGGCGATGCCAGGGTGCAGTTCAGCTGGTGGATGGCAGCAGATTCCTCGTACGTGGCGCCTCCGATAATGAAGAGTATCACCGTCTGTGGCCTGGCAATTTATTCTGAGTTAGTGTCGCGGAATTGATCCCAAAAGATTTATCCATGAATAATTTTGAAGCAAAAAATAATTAATCAATAAAATTTGGACAAAAGTTTTAAATAGAATTTGTTTACTTGAAATAAAATAATTAGAAAAATAAAGTAATGGAAGCATTGATCCAAAGCGGCGTGTTAATCAATGTCGTGATGCTAGGTGAGACAACGCAAACAATGAACGCAGCATTTAGATTCAAAATAAAACAAAAATGAAGATATATCAGTGATGAAATTTAGTAATCTACACCAAATAAAATTTTATCAAATTAAATCATCCTATTTCCATTGAATTTTTGATGTAAAGGTTATGTATTATCTGTGATTTACACCTGCGAGAGAATCTACGAGTACATATTGACCTTATGAATAAGCGGTTGCACTCTTTGATTTAATTCTATGTAATTAGTAAAACAATGGTGACAATGCAAAAAATCCATCGCACGAGATGCTTTTGTAAAACGCAACAAGTGACAAGGATTCTTCCTTTTACTGGTTTAGTTTTTTAACATTCAGTAAATCATGCAACTAATTTACCGGGCAGCAGCATTCTGTGGGGCGGTCCCGATGAAAGGATACGAGGATTCTTTGAGTCTACCCTTGACGGCCTGCGTAGCGGTCTCCAGCACTAGAGGCTTGTGCTGAGTGTAAACATTCTCGACGCCTTTCACTCCCTGTACATTCGTAGGATATTCCACATTATTTTGCTTTATATCCATTTATCTTACATACTACGAGTATATGCAGTCATTGATTGATTGGCAAGAATAGGAAAAAAGTTCAATTAGCTAGACAAGAGACGACACAGTTGATGGATGATGAAGAAAGTCATAATGAAGAAAATTTTGCAAGACGAAAAATGTCATGGGAATATTGGACGCCGAAAAATGATTCAATTATAAACGCAAGTGTTGAAGTCATTGGGATGGCAGTGAGGTGAATTTTAACCAATCCGTGATAAAATTCAAGTTGGCACAACTAATTGTACTATCATATGATATAGCATATCACAATTAGTTACGACCATTAGAAATGATATTTTTAATCGCATGTGCTGTCATCAGGAAAGACGTTGCTATATTTTTTCCTCATCAAAGCACTAATGTTAAATTCCACCGTGCACTGGTCAAAAAATGCGCTATGGCACCTTAAAGAGAAGTTTTTTGAAAGCAGAAACATCCTGGGGCAGTGGCGACGAAAACAGCGTTGATTGCCGAGCCGCTTCACCTCCGTACTCCAGCATGGCCGACACCAACTGCATCAGGAATAATTTCATTTCCCTTTTTCCGCGCAAGGCAACATGAATTTTCCACTAAAAAACTAGACATTAACAAGGTGATTAAAGTTCTATGAAATCAGTTCAAGAAGAAAGAAGTAATGTGGAATGCAACACGAGCAAAATAAACCGCCTAGGTATTGATATTAGGGCAGCTTTATGCGACCAAATAGCAAGATACAACCGAGAGAAATTATTACAGACATTTCCATTCAATTGCAAGTTAGTTGGAAGAATTAAAATTGTGTTTACTAGTTGTTGGCTTCTTTCTAGTGCGATTATGGGTTTTAATTCTAACTTAATGTCTTGCGAAATTGAATATTGCGCATATTCGACTCGGTATATATCGATATACCTGCCCTGGCACCTCAATATACCTGACCTGGTACCGTGATATATCAACAATATTAAGATTAATGACGTTATATGGCTGAGAATTGTCCTATTGAGAGGTTATTTTTCTGAAATTTGAAGGTAAGTTACTTATTTGTACTCCTAACATGAGTATATGCTTACTAAAAAATATGAGTATTTGAGTAAAAAATCGCCAATCTGCTCTGGCACCTTGATATATCTGTCGTTAACGCTGCGTTTACGCAGGGCTGACACTAGCCCCCTGGTATCGTTGTTGGCGTGTGTCTGGTGCCTGATGGCGTAGAGCATTACCAGCACCGCAGCGTCCTCAGCACTGATGCCAGGGTCACGCACCAGTTCGTGCACTCGCTGCACAAGAACAAGAGACAAGCTTCATACTCTATTTCTCAAACTTGCGTGCAGATTAGGAGCAAGATTAAGCAGGTATATCTAGTTTCAAATCAAAACTAATTGTAAGATAAAGTATGGAAACTGACCTGTAGATTAGGGGAGTGGTCAGTGCCACACACGAGTTCCTGCTGACACTCAGAGACCTGCAGCAGTCGTCGCGCCGACACCACGCGGCTCAGCTCGCCTACTACCGTCACGTGCTTGCTCACCGTGCCTGACATTTGCTGCGTGTAAACAGCATCAAGTGATGTGCTCAGATAATCAATGAAAAAAAAAATACTGAACATTCAATCAGTAAAATTTTTATAGAATATAGAATAGAATTCTTTTTTTTTTCGAATCAATAGAAAGTGTAATTTTCATGTTATTGCAAAATGATAAAAAATAAGACCTTCTCAAAGTTTAGCATAATTTGGACATGAGTATGGATTCAAGTACACTTACATGGATATAAATTATGCTATTGAATAGTAAATCGTTGGAAAATTTCGTAAATCTTTTAATAATTTGGCAAGTTATTATAAATAATAGAAAAATTAATAAACAAACATTAAAAAGCTATCAGGACAGTGAACAATGTGATGAAAAAAAATTATTCTAATTCAAAGGATTCATGGAAGATGAATTTACGTATTTATTTAAAATCATTTGTGAGAACAAAAACTCACGTAGAAATGGACGAATGTTTTCTCCCAGGTAAACTTATCACCTTGCCGACAGTCACTGAGCTACTCACTTTAAACTGAGGATAATTTTGCACGAAATGCTTCATGTCGGCGATGCTCTCCACTTTCTGCTGCTTGCTCAGTTTGCCCTGATACTCCTCCATGAGCTGCTTGATGGTCTGGCCAATTTCTCCGTAGTTTAAATACATGCTCTGCACAAAAGAAACTTGATTTAATTGTCACTCGCGGTAATCGTAATTGAGAAGTGTTTGGAATTCCTGAGTAGAAAAAAAACGACAGTGCAATAAATTTGAATGAACACACAAAATAAACGCAAAAATAAAATCAAAATTACACTGAAGAATTTTAAAATTAGAGATATTGGGAAAAAATTGTACCATATTATTTTGTAATTGAGAAGTGTTTGGTACTCATGAGTAGAAAAAAAACGATAGTGCAATAAATTTGAATGAACACACAAAATAAACGCAAAAATTAAAATCAAAATTAAACCGAAAAATTTTAAAATTAGACATTGAGTAAAATGGTACCATATTATTTGCAATATAGAGTGAAAAAACAGAAACTTCTAAAGAGAAACTCAAACCTTGGCATAAAATTCATCCTGTGTTGGGGTCATAACAACCTCCTTGAGCTCCTCTGCTATGCCAGGAACATCAGCCAGACTAACCCTGCCACCGTTGACACCGAGCAGCTGATGAACCTGAAATGAAGAGGCAAAATTGCGGATACATTTCATGTGGCCACTCGTAATGGAATACAAAGTTGCTGTATTCAAAGCAATAAGATGTCATAATTTTTCAATATAAACCATTTTTCTTTACAACATTGTGCTATTGCTGAAAAGGGGTTAGGAAATAAAATCGAGCATATAATTTGAGCTTAGTTTGATTAGATGAACAAAAATAGATAATAATTCAGTTAATATGTACAGAATACAAGCACAAAAAATTATCCTGGGTAAAGAAAACATAGCCTATTCTGAATGATGCATAAACAATGGATATTGTTTTCACAGATGATTGCTAGTGCTACACACCATAGCTTCATAAGTCCACTGATGGAGTAATGGAGTGATGGGGTCATCTCGGCGGTCCAGTATTATGACAACACTGGAAGGGATGGCGCCATTACTTGAGTTATTGTAGGAATTGTTGTACTGGGCAAATCCATAGCTTGAATTACCAGTGGAAGAACTGGCTACTACAGCACCTTCCATGGTGATCATCATCCGAATCTCATCTGCCAGTTGACGAGCCAGGTCTGAGTTTGCTTGATATCTAGTAATAAAAATAAAGACATGAATTGAAGTTCAGCCATCAAATAATGATTAAGTTCATTTATATTAGAATTGCTTTAGAGTTGGACGATAATATGCAAAAAAATTTAATGGATATAAATTTTATTGAATGAAAGACCAACATATAAATGGCAAGAGCATTAATATTTGTAAAAAATATCAATTTATACGCAAGGATCTATTTGAAATAAATATTTTATTTCAATGATATTTCTTTAAGCCCAATAGGGTAGAAAATTTCAAGTGTAAAATTGAATTTGGAGATGTAGTTAGACTCACAAACAAGTAAGGGCAATAGATGAATGAAATGGTTTCTATAGCCCACCTTACATCTGGCAGCAAGGAAAGAGAAAATACCAAGGAGGTCAAGCCCTGCATTGATCTCTGGAGGCACCCACTTGCCCAACGCATCCCTGCACAATACATTTATAACACAAATAATAATAAGGGAATTGGATACATGCGCTGCATAATTCTTCCAAATATTATGAAACTCTAACAAATAATTCACAGTGAAAGAAATACTAATGGAAGTTTTCACCAGTTTTATATAAACAAATTTAAACGAATTAAGTCAGAGAAATTACCTGTTATAGGACGAGGAATGTTGAGAGTGAAGATATGGGGCGCCAATGCCATGTAGTCAGCATAAATTTCCTGCACTTCTCTGACCAGCTCCTGCTCATCTGACTCAGCCAGCTGCTTCACACTAGCTTTACTCACCACATTACTGAAATCTGCAATAAATCTGATCATTCACTAAATTGTACTTGGAAATGACTTCAGCTGAAATAAAGTTTGAAAAAATTGCCAACATAATTGATGGAACATTATGGTTAAAAAGTACAGAAGATCAATTATAAGAAATTCAGCAAAAGAACTATAATTTGAACATATACAGATTATAAATATTTTTGTTAATGTAAATTGAAGAAACCAACTTTGGAAAACTATGAAAAGGAAGATATTAAATCATTAATTAAAATAACACTCACATATATAATAAGCTCCATAACGTGGCTGTTGCAATTCTCTGCAGAGAAGGGAAATGTTTTCAGGAGTTGGTCGTACAAAAACAACACATTTCAGATAGCTCATGTTCTCCCCACTGCTCATCTGTTCCACTTGTTCAAACATGTAGACTTCTTGCTTCATTACTTCACTCATGGCCATAACAAGACTTACAATGGCAGTCTGTAAAGTAGAAACAAAATATGTGAGAAACCTTTTAACAGTTCCAGTCATCGATATTTTGATATTTAAGCAGAGGCATTAGCAAAACATTTTTATTTATGGAGATGAGCTCACATTGGATTGAAAAACAACGGCAATGTCTGCAGGAATTGGGGAACTCCAGAAGAAAAACTAGTCTTTCAAGTACAATAGGTCTACATCTAATAAAGATTTGCCTATTAGTAATATCTTGGAATTATACTTTTTAACTAGAAAGGTAGTATAAGACAATTTTTTAAAGGCTCAAAAACGTAAAGGGCAGAATTTCTTCATACCTAGTTGAAAAAAATCCAGTTTGAACAACTGCATTTAGCTTGTTGCTTGTAATTGAAAACCAAATATTGCCACTATGCCACTCATTTGCCACAACCAGTGTGCTCTCTTTTTCTAACACAGATGCTATTTTGAAGCTGAATAAGTTACCTGACTACATCAATCAAAAATATATGAACTGTCAATTTCAAATTACATCCTGAAGCCAAATCAGAAAAGAGGACAAAAGCCATCCATGAATGAGGCAAAGAGACCCATTGGTGTGGACTATCCAACCATTCCTATGGCTCATGCTGAATTCATTTTTACAAAAATTAAGAAAAACAGCATGCATATTTTTACATGCAATTATTGAAAATCACTCCTGAAAAATTAATTTCAAATTGCAATTTTCATAAAATTTTACCTGATATTCTGGCTAAGCTCTGAATGGTAAATTCATCTGATATATATGTATGTGAAATAAAAAATTATAGCCCATTCATCCACATCTACAGAATATTAGGGAGAAAAAATTAAATCAATTCAAAATTAACGCATGTATCTTAGCTCTGCTTCAGCAGATAAATACGTAATTGACAAATAATACTTACAGTCTCACGATCCATCAGCATGATCTTGTATCCAGGTTCACTGTCACGAATCATGGTCTCAATATAACTTTTGATAGCACCAACAGCCCCCATTGCTGCAAGTTTTATGATTTCGTTCTTCCAGTCTCCAGCACTGCAATAATAACTTAGTTTATTTTATACATTTCAAGCAAAGTTCAGTAGCACCAGGCACGGTCATAAGCAACATTTATTGAACATTACATGCAGTAACTTTTGAGCCCACTAATTAAGCCACTGTCAATCATTCAATGAGACCTAAATAATAATTTCAGGTGGAATTTAGAACAGTTAAAAAATTAACAGGTACTTGTTTCATATTGGATTCAAACCCCCAAAACAAATCTTTGCTTATAAAATTGGAGTTATACCTCAAACTAATCAAGTTACCAGACTGTTTCCATCTTGGATATCCCAATTATAATTCCTAGAATTCAACTTTGACAGGCTGACACATGTCACCACTCAGCAACAACAGTCTGCAAATAATGCAAATACCTTGCCACATCTTATCACTGAAAACTATATAAACTGTAAAATGCTAGTCAGATATAAAATCAATGTAGAATTCCATAAAGGTTTTAAATTAACCAGTATACATAGCATATTGGAAAGGCTGTCACACAAACCAATTGCAGTCTGGAGAGAGAGGATGACATCACCATTCCGGAACTAATCACAGTCTGGAGAGGATGATATCACCATCCCACAACTAATCACAGTCTGGAGAGGATGACATCACCACCCCACAACTTATCACAGTCTGGAGAGGATAACATAACCATCCCACAACTTATCACAGTCTGGAGAGGATAACATTACCATCCCACAACTTATCACAGTCTGGAGAGGAGGACATCACCATCTCACAACTTATCACAGTCTGGAGAGGAGGATATCACCATCACACAACGTATCACAGTCTGGAGAGGAGGACATCACCATCCCAGAACTTATCCCAGTCTGGAGAGGAGGACATCACCATCCACTAACCCATCACAGTCTGGAGAGGAGGACCATACAATACCACCAACTTGGCACAAAGGCACCATTTACACCAACCAATCACTGTATCACAGTCTGTGATGGATGAAAATCATGACAATGATATCAAAACCAAGTACAGTCTGGACTTGATGTCGTTGCAACCAATCACAGTCAGAAGATGGACATGCATCTACCCAAAAATAATAAACTTTAAGCACTCTCCTAGAATTCCAGCTGGTACAGTGTAAGTGTATAACATGTTAAATATAATAAAATTAAAATATTATAATTTTTGAAGCTGCTTTGTTAAAACTTTTGCCATTTAATTTAATCTCTGAAAGTAGTTAAATTCAAATATACAAATTCAAAAACACAATCTTAGCTGAGGAGTGAGGTGTTACTGCAGACTGCTGACCTGAGCTGAGATCACATTTGACAGAACAATGCAACAGAACTTCACAGAAGTCACCACTGCACCACTGTGGTGACTCACCACAGGCCATCCATTCAGCAATGGCTACTAGTTAGCCATGGTCAGGAAGATGTGCCAGGTGCGCAGGAATTTATTTTGTCATTTCAACGACCTGCGCGGTGCGCCGTACTACGTTGGTAAAAAAATGCGCCGTGCGCCGTACTTTAGAAAGCTAAAATAGTTCTACTCTTTTAATTGACAATATACGCGAGTCGAACTGACAATAATAAAATGTAAGACATGTCCGGGTTACTTCTGACTCTTCCGGTTGTCCGCCTTGTCGGATACGGAACGTACGGTAATCGTAAACTGCGGCTGTTATACATACGAAATGTAAACAGACGGTGTTCAGTGTTGCCATATGACTTTGGAGAAAATTTCTTCTAAAATAAAGATGGCCAGGATTGCGCGAACACGTGCGCGAAGATAATCAATTTTCATTACATTGCGCCAACTGTGCACAGCAATAGCTTAAAAAAAGTGAAAATGCGCGGGAAAATTCACCGAAAACATACATCATCCTGAGTGTGGCTAGTTAGTAGTTACCAAGCGGCAAGCAAGAATAACTTCTACCATTAGGACTGCAACAGGAGCTTTCCCTGCCATTTCCAGCACTGTGAGATTTCTTCCAGATGAATTACCTTCTATCTAATTGTTAACTAAAGTGCATGTCTGCACAATTGGGCTGCTAGATTCCAAATGTATTAAAAATTTGTTACATTGGAGCCACAAGGTTTCAGAAACAAGTAGGAAAATTCCAATCCTGGAGCCTAGTTACTAGTACTGCACCTAAGTTACTTTATTTGCCGCTCATCGATAAAAACCACATGCATAGTAATGATAAGTAATCACTAATATATGTACTAGACACTAGAGTGACTAGACCAAATTACAATTTTTATGTTTCATTTAATCATAGCCTACTTACAGACAGAGATAAACCAGATAATTTTTAAAATCATTTCATTTTTAATTTCCTCATTTCCTACTTAAGATTTAAAATTATTTCTTACAAACTAGGTAGTAGGTATGATAAAGGCGGATTAAGGCAGTAGTAACCATGGGTCCATGAACCATGATACTTTACTTTACAGCCTACAGGTCAACTTACTACCTAGGCTGCCTAGGCAGGCTAGGCCTACCTAGCTTACTAGCTACCTTACTGCGTGATACCTAAAATAAACTGTAAGGCATATTCTCACTCAAAAATTGTGGCTCAATTTTGTTTACATAATGGACATATAAGTGATATAACCTATTGAAAATTGCCAAAACCCAGCGGCCAGCTCACTGACCTCAGTTGTCACACAAGTGACACAACTGCACCATCAACCATGGCAGGCACCAGGCAGGCAGGGTGCCCGGTGGCACAATATGTCTTGTAACTGTAACGTACCTACTCAACGAGTAATCGAGTATAGCAAGGCGGTGTGCTGAGCAGCTGGTCACAGACTCACAGCCTAGGTAGTTAGGAATGAGTGGTGAGAATGTTCGTGCATATGTACCACGCAGGAACAGGGTTGAATTAGATTTGGGGCGTACTGGGTAACCGGCGTAGTGACTCTGAAAAAATATACGCGAGTCAGCCCTTTACAACGGCCATCTGCCACGCATCACATGTTCGCTTTGTTATTATGAGAGAAGAAAGCCATGCCAGGTGTGACTGTGAATGGTGTGAGAGTTCGTGATAAGGGTAAGATGAAAAGATGGAAAAGAGAAATTCAAGAGGAAATTTATTTCAATATTTGGTTTGTCATAGCTATGTCCCATTTATTGCACTGAAGTATTTAGTTCATATTAGATATGATCATGTTAGATATGGAATCTCTCTCTTAGGCCACGAATGATTATTTTTGTTCAATTGAATAATTACTGATGCATTTATTATTGATTTTTTATTGCTTGGCTACTTACACTCTTCCGGCCTCCATTCTCGCTAACCTCCATCTTTCCCTCATTTTCCATGCACTCTCCAAATATCGCTTTCCACTCTTAATCTTGGCAGCAGTCACCCCTGCTGACAGACCCAGGTGTCATCGCAATACATTCGTCTCCCGTTTGCTCATACATCACACCATCACCCCTCTCATCCAGTATCACTCTCACCGTTTCCAATCTGTCCCTCTCGTATGCATCATACTAATATTGGTTTCAGCGTGTATTAGGCCGTAGACTGTTGCCGATTCTTAACATCGCAGAACATTCACAGCTTGTTGTGGTCTCGAACTCGCAACTCACTGCTACAAATTTGTTGTGCTTAACCGCCCGGCCTCCTCGCGCGCCAGAAACTGGTGCGCAGAGCTGGGATCGAACCTTTGCACCAATGAGCCAATCTTGGTACTCTAACTTTAACCACTGGGCCACCCTGCCTAGTATTAATATCATATTCCATCATCAGATGCTCCACAGCTTCCCTCTAAGCTCTGTCATACATAAAACAAATATCATCTCTTCTCTCATTCCACCTGTATGCCCGTACTTTCACACTCAAAGCATTCGCTCTCACGCAGAACATTAGGTCCCCACCTCTACTGCATTACATATGCAGGTAAGCCCGTGTTTCATATAACTCACACTTGTGTGCTATTGCACGACTTAACGTTCCCATTTGCTCACTCTCAAGTTCCGCAAGTAGGTACATCTTATGCGCCTAACGTTCATCATCCATGCGTTTATCAAGGGTGATCTAGTCAATTTTTCTTCACTTTTAAATGTTATGGAGGTTATGAAATACCATACCATGTTTTTTCCAGTAAAGTGGGGCAATTTTCTCATCATTTCATCGAATAGTTTTGAAATATTTTGGTTAGTAGAGCATTTTTTAATCAAATAAAAATGTAAGTCAAGACGGGCGCTACTGAATAACTTAACCTTCAAAGGGAAATTAAATTTGTCTTTGAGCTTCTCTGGTAGGAGGAAACCTTTTGTTGGCCACTTGCAATAAATTTTTCACAATTGATATTATTCAACAGGTTTATCTGCCCTGTATCGAATAACACATATCAAGCGAGTGATGTGATAAACTTTGACAGGCTGCTAAGGACTTCAGCTTAGTAGTAGTAGTATAATGGTTTGCTAGCGCTTCAGCTATCAAGCTATTTCGCACCGAAGGTCAAAATATAACATCGCCAAAGAGGCGGAAGGTCTCAGTTATTCAAAATCTCAAGTTAATCATCACCCACAAGGGGCGGAAGGTCTCAATTGTCCAGCCCGCTGAAGCTGGCTCGAAGGAAGCAGCGTTAGCATCTCAAAAGAGACGAAGTGACAAGGAGGGACAGGTGAAAAGCAACAGAAACGAAGACGCTCGAACAAGAGGTCGCTTACACGGGACGTCGGCCGCCCGCACGAGAGAGACAGAGAAGGGAAATGTAAGGAATCCTACCTACATAATAACTTAACCCCACAACTGAGACTTAGGGCATTTGTCCGGAAGTTCGATCAAGATTATGTGTCGGCGGTTCAACGATACCACGAATGTTATCTAAATTCACAAATCAATGAATTGAGAAGTTTACGCACTAAAACCGAAATATAATCGAAATTAAACCCGAAATCAGAAGCTCCGCGAGTCCCTGATTGCAAGTTAGCTACAAGAAAATATTCAGAACTGTACGGACGGGATAACTAAATAATTATAAATGCTTTCATTTAATATAGGGAATAGAAACACACCATTTCACAAATCTATATTCAATCAGGTCCATAGAAAAATTCACTAATGCAAGGCCATAAAATCAGCATTGACAGCACAAATGTATGGTGACTGAATTTTGCTCACGAGTGTACACTGTACAGGTTGCGCATTCAATGAACAAATAGTGAAATCAATGGAGTTGTCTAAGTCAAGAATTTGTCAGCGCACCTTTTAATTCACATAAAAGTTATTCAGCGTGTGTGGAATGGTTGATTGATGTTTCTACGCATGTCTATAACAATAAAATATAGTGAAGACACAAAAAACTTATTTTAACTTAGATAAAATATAAAACCACGTGAAATCTTTGAAACCAATTGCGTATAACATAGAGCAGATGAGAAACATGTACGGAGTACTCAAAAGTTTTATAAAATCTGTTATTAGACCAAAGCAAAATATGTAGCTTCCGTCTGTGCGTCACCTCGATACCATTAGCAAGGAACATTGATGTCAAAGCTACCAACAGCATTGCACTCCAACCACCGAGCAACAATCTCGTAAAAATTTCATGATCACAAACCCATCGAATTGCCATGAAATGACCATAGGCGACAGACGAGTACCCAATACGAAGGGGGGGAAGAAACCCCTTCATATACCTGGCAAACTATGGCCGGACACTTTCTTCGAATTCTTGTAGCTGTCTCCAGATCGTATCCACTCGTCCTGCCATGTTACATACATTTTGAAGAGAGATAGGGAAATCAATTCGATTAGGTGAGATAAGGAAATGTTTCTCGAAATTCTGTGAGATACAACAGAGGGCAGGTGTTTCTCAATGTCCAGTCAGTTACCTGCGTACAACAGCCACCAAGAGATGCGCATTGTACCACAGCATAACTTCAACGATATCTAGCAAGTCGCTCAATCGGTTGATTACAAGCAATTGCTTTCTATAACAATCGACTGGCTGCACTTAAGGCCGCAGTGAAAATTGACGAGTAAATAAGAAGCTTCACCAACCTCTTAGCCATATCAGCCAATTGAGTCTTACCAACTCTATATTATTTCAAGAGACGGAATTGTGCATGAGGTCGAAACGAGTTTAATGCCCTGCATAAAGCCCAGGCAGGCCAGGAAGATGGAACGCGACTAGACAGAAGATTTGAAGAACTTAATAAGTATAGCCTCATGGCAGGGATTAATGACATGGGAGAGACGAACAAAAACTCAATCATTTAACACAAAATATGACTATGCGAATAATCTCTCCTGTAAATTACGAAGCTCGGAATACTTTACGAAGGTAAATAGTTCACCACACCATATAAAAAGCGATCAAATAGAAGGAACACTCTAAGCATTGGCACAAGTCACAACAAATACAGAATCCAAAAAATAGCCTGGGAAGACATTCCGTTCCAAGAAACATTCTGTTGCAAAACCAACAAGCCTTTCAGAAACATCGAAACTCGAAACAAAATATCACCATTTTAGCAAAACTAAAAAAAGGAATACAATCAGTGCCGAGTGTTTGGTTGATAAACCAGACTATAATTCCGATAGGCGATGCATGAAATGATGGTGACTAAAAGCACAAACGAATGAACAATTATCAACCTGCGCAGTGCAATGGTGGGTAGAAAGCCATTCGCTTTCTACACTAACTTTACCGTAAAACACAGCTTTCGATTTGTTCGTCGAGTATGGCACGAATGATTCTTCAAAAAATACAAAGAATGAGTAACCATCGAAGGAAGACGGTGAAGAAACACGGATGATTTAAGTTAGAAAAATAACCGACAAAACATAACCGTAAGCACTAGGAAGATAACACTTAAGAACAACATATAAATGATCTGGAGGAAGAAACGAGAGAAATATCATCAGACAAAACGAGAGAAAAATCATCAGACAAAACGAGATAAAAATCATCAACAGACAATCATTTAGCATGAAAATCATGAAGTTATGAACTACCAAATTGATCGCTCTATGCAACAGAAACCACTATTTTTAAAAGCATGCAAAAATGATCTGTATGAATTGCATCAAATTTGAAAATTATAGGGAAACCAGATGGAATTTTCGGGAATGTTTCAAATGATAACAATAGCATATACTAAAACACCTGCAATACATACAATTACTGAGTTTAACTTGAAATAAGTATCATGTGAAAGGCTACTCAATTTCTGTGTTGTCACACGAGATAATAATTCCTTATTAATTATGTAAAAAAAACATAAAATGTAACGCTAACACCTCTCCGTAAACGAGATGAATCGCTAAATGCTTGGAAGAAAAATTCTTGTAAAATTACATCGTGAAATACCAAGTTACCAACAGGTATATATCGGATAGGAATGTCTACAGCCAGATGAGCATGCACGAGTGAGTAAAGCGTCAACCTAAGCCGCCGCACTCTCTACACTGGATAAGGCTCTAGTGCTCCGTAGTACAGTACACTCAAATTACCTCGCTGCTCTATTCAATCCCACACCAAGACTTACATTGTAAATACTCTAAGGCTACAGAGTATATAATGATTAGAATTTATTCAGCAATCAAGTTTGGCACGTAGGTAACTTATTTTAATTTGAATTATTATTTACCGTCAGCAGGACGATGACTTTAAACCTTTGACGATACGGGCATCAACAGGCATGGATTACTGTGGAGGTGATGTACGCGAAGGAAAATGTCAGGAAGTAATGAAGTCACTCAAACTTACGGCTTGTTGCTTAAAAACAAACCGTTGCAGTTACATTGCAATATCACGATCATTAAACTTTAGCATCACTAATTTTTTATCCGTACTACACAAACCTTAACCTTCACTATAATTTCCAATACCTTCAAGCTACTCCAGGCCAATAGCAAATGAGCGTGAAAATCAACCACAATGTCCAACTTTATTCCACAACTCAACTATCAATCAGTAGACATTAAACATACACACATCCCTAATAAACTGGGAGACAAATATTAGCGATTTCAGACACGAACATGACGAGGATATCTCACGCGAGCTCGCTGTGGAAATCAGCCTTAATTAGCGACGGCACAATGATATCTATTCTGATGTCTAACCCATAGCCACACCATGACATCTGTCACTAGAATGCCAGGACATCGTCATCAGCGGAGGTCATCATAACTTCAGACCTTGCCTGAAAGTGCGACCACGAGCGCCACGGATGCTGCTTGACGTTACAACTTTAATCAAACAACACAACAATTAGATGAAGCACTCAAGTTGAGGGCACACAGGCGCTTGCAACGCTGTCAGTAGTAATATTAGTAGTAGTGTTTAAAGTACATGCAGTAGTAGCATTATAGATAACTGTATTAAAAACGCAAAAGCAATGAAATAATATTACACGGATTCCATGCAATCATAACTGGTAACAAGATTCTTGCATCAAACATCGACATTTATCTCGTAGGAGGGGCGTATGGACACAAATTACTGGCCGGCTGAAGTTACATAGAAACAGCGGAGATAGCACTTCGCTGAAAAAATTTTTCAACAGAAGAACAGAAACGCCGATGCTCGTACAATAGATGGCTACCTTTCGCTCAACTGCTCAAGGGAAAGGAAGTGCAAGGAATTGTGCCCACACGACAACTTGACCAAAGATCCGAGACCCGCATTCAGATACCACAACGCCTTTGAAACGTAAAATGCCCTCTAACGTCTGACTAGCAAAAAAAAAAAAGTGGAAGTATTAACTTTGCGGATTCCCTCCAAAAATGCGGCAATCCTTGTCCAGCATGCCAGAACTTGGCAGCTGCCACCATACAACTAAAATATTCTCCTGAGCAGCGGTTTGATATGGTGCAGGTGGAAGTCTTCGAGCGCTTCTGATGAAACGAACAAAGGGAACCACAGTAACAACGAAAACAACTACACAAAAATATGGAAGGCTTACCTTACAATGCCTTTATGAGTATTTTTAAATTTCACCTTACATGGCATGCATTTGAATCTTATATATTATTTGTATCATAAACTGTACTCTGCAGCTATAAAATACAGGTAGATGTTACAATATGATCACATATGGAGATGCTTCGCATACATAAATGGTATACATAACTGCAACAACACATTGTTACCACTCATATTATTTCCATTAACAGCAACCGACAAACAAAACATTTAGTTTATTATGATTCCAGAATAACATGAAGACACTCAACAGCAAAACAAAAAAAAAATCTCAACTTTAGGAAAAAAATATAGCTAATAGTAAGAGCTGCAGTAAGCGCGCTACACATGGGTTTGGAATAGAATATAATATATTTATCCATGATGAGCAATAACTTGACCAGATAAATTACAGATCCGAAAAATAAATTGCCTTGAAGTATCAAAGAGATCTGCGCTACGGCAACGAACACAAACTGGTGTACAATGCTGATGAATTTGTATCTATTTTCTCTCTCAACGAACATGTACCGCAAAGATTATTGTCTCACGTATGAATTTCTGATAGAGCTTCGTCGGGCAGTAAGATCTTCCTCGTCGGAGCTTACAATGGTCTGCTAATACATGCATGAGCATAAGTTCAATACAGAAGAAAATTTGGATGTGTATACTTTCGTAAAGAAACGGGTCGTACTCAACACTGGAATTCGATTTTCAATAAATATTGTCTATTAACGCCGTATATTCTAACGCCTAAAACCGCGTTTGTAATAACTGAATTTCATAGGACTCCACTTCCCTAGTCTCAACACTAGACAGAGATGAAATTATCCTTGAAGCGACAATATATGGCATATTCTATTACAGCTGCATTAATTATCGAACTTGACAATCCACAGAGTCCTAAAATACACCGTAATATTATGTCCGACGTTCAAAAATGTACATATATTTAGAGCGCGTTCGCAGTACATCACCTTTCTGTCTAGCAACGCAACCTTTCTTTCACACGACACACTAAGATTCAAACCCAATCGTAATCAGGAAATACCTCTAAATAACCATACATTGATGAACTTGGCTTGGCATACTACCGACCTATTAAATTTCTCTGCAAATCCCCTGACACTTTACAGGAATATCACCATTAATTTGTTATCAGTTATAGTTATCCCATTTTGAAAAAGTATTCATTGCATACTGTTGAATTTGAAGGCTAATTAGCACATTTTCTAATTGGTTCATGTTTTTCAACTTATAACAATCCATTTAAAAAACAAGAGCGTATCAAAATAGAATTCCTATTCTAGTACTTGAAGCACACGTTATTGTTGTGGGATGCGGGTCACTTTTTGTTAACGAGGTACCAGGCGCGGTACAAGGACCACACATTATTGGTGTGCTGGTCACTTGTTGTTAACGAGGCACCAGGCGCGGTACATGGACCACACATTATTGGTGTGGTGGTCACTTGTTGTTAACGAGGCACCAGGCCGCGGTACAAGGACCACACATTATTGGTGTGGGTATCACTTTTTGTTAACGAGGTACCAGGCGAGGTACAAGGACCACACATTATTGGTGTGGGGATCACTTGTTGTTAACGAGGCACCAAGCGCGGTATATGGACCACACATTATTGGTGTGGGGATCACTTGTTGTTAACGAGGCACCAGGCGCGGTACATGGACCACACACTAAGAGGCCGCATGTAGCCCACGGCGCGGTAGTGACCCGTGGCGTAGAGCGCCTCAGGCATGTCGTAGGCCAGGCCGGTCTCGTAGTAGGTTGTGTTGTAGATGCCCTCCGCCGTGCGGAAGCCCTCGTCCAACATGCCCTGGAAAAACATCGACATTTCATATCACAATTTACAGGGAGTAAATAACCCGACACGCGGTCAACATCACGTCAATCTAGGAGTGAGGCCAGAGGGAGGGGAAGTGAGGAGAGGCGGGAGAGGAAGAAGAAAGTAAGGGGGTAAATAAGGAAGAGAGGTGAAGGAAGACAGTAGGAAATTTAGGAGGAGAACAAAGAATGGAGAAGAAATGGAGGCGAGAAGGGGAAAAAGGAATAGACGGGCTAAGAGGGTAGTAGGAAGGCAGAGGGGAAGAAGGGATAAAGTATGTTTGGATTATTGCCAGTAGTATTGTTGAATTCTTAGTTAAATATTATTAACTGAAACACGAATAACTTTTACAATAAACTAGTCAACAACTTTTAACTGAATACCATCATTTTGGCATAACTATGGAAGTGGAAAGGGACAACTTGAAACCATCAAAAAATTTTTTTGCGAGACAGTAAAGAGAACCGGTCTGATAATAGACGATTCTTGACCCGTGCGCAAATCTCTTAAAAACAATAGATCAGCTATATATGTTACACGCGCCCAAAATATAACCTTTCGAGCACCTCTTTAATGAATGTGGCAGCCAGGGCGAAGGCGGTGCCCGGCCACATCTCCTGGCTCTGGACGGTGTGGCAGTCCACTTCCCCGTCAGGTTTCATGCCGTTCACGGCGCCCATGTTCCCATTGCAGAATTTCATCACGTTTTGCTCATACATGGTTTTCAAAGCGGTTACCACATGAGCCTTTTTGAAAACCTGTCAAGTAAATTTGCTTAAAAAAAATTAGAAACACGAGAGACTTGAATTATAATGACTTTCAAGCATTGAGCATTAATCAAGTTCAATAATATTAATAATCAAGTTATGAATTAGGCTTCCAGACTAAATCTGATGGCAAATAAAATTTTTGAAGAACTTACAAACCACAAGACACGGTTAATATATATCAAAATATTTCATCAGAATTCTTGAGGAAGGAGAGGTTAGTCGTTTGCAATTAATGGAACATGAACGTTACATAAACAGATTGTACCTAAATTACCGTGGTTTATTTAGAAATCTCAATTGAAATAACAGTTCCCTTTATATGCATATAACAAACTTGGATACATTCTGTTTTTTTAGAGGATATTTCAACTAAAATGAGATAGACGAAAGGAAAACTAGACAAGACGTTGTATACATTATCAATGTATTTATTTTGCTTACATCATGTCATCCAAGAGGGTGAGAGGTAAGTATTTCTCTAAAGTCAACTGACGACTTCAAAGTCGGACTGAAAAATTGTCAATAAATCAAAATAACAATAATAAAACCTCCACCATTCCTCATCGAAAGGAGAGGTATTAAGTTTACAAGAGCAGTTATACTGCCGGATGGCAAGGCTATACAACTGACCTCTTTGTTGTTGCCGGAGAGGCTGAGATACCAGTGGCCTACTAGCTGGTCTGACATGATGGTCAGGTGGTGTGGGTGGTCGCAGCTATCGAAGTTGTAGTACGAGCCTGTAGTTATGTCAAATTTTAATACAACTAAACTAACCATGCAGGAACTGGCAAAAAAAGGGATAGCGGTTTTACATTCCTTATTCTCGAGCAAATTACGATCACTTGGCTTGGGCCTCCGATATCATGCATGAGTATGCAATTCGTTAGTATCAAAAACTTCAAGCAACCTAAAAATCAAAGACGACTACTGACGAACTTACACACGTGTTAGAAGTCAACTGTAAGGGCCATTTATATAATGAACTTTCGTCTACTAAAATACATTTTACCGAATTGACATGTTAGAAATTCTTTGGAAATTTCTTGAACGAAAAAGAAAAAATTTTACCCTATCATTCTGTATAGCCAAAGCACGCACCGTTCCAAAGCTTCTTCTCCATGGAGGTCTGGGCCTTGGTGAGCATTTGTGCGTATTTGGTGCGCTCTTCCCCACAGCCCAGGACGTCCGCGAGCTCCTCCATGGCGCCCAAAGCGGCAAGCCTGGCATTACACTTAATTAGAGGTAATTTGTTGACATATAATGAGATTCGATAATAATCATATGCATTAATAATGGGAAACTTGATGACATTAAATACATTTTCAAAATGCATTTGAACAAAACAAATTATAATCAGCTGAGTAGCAAATCAAAAAAAAGTATTGACATAAGCGGTTTTAAGTTACAGGTTTCTTCAAGATATTAATGTGTCATCGTCGCAAATAATTGCGACGCAAATAATTGTAAATGCGCGCAAATAAATGCGCGCAAATAATTGCGAAATACCAAACAACTATCAGGACTGACCAGAGCGAACAGCAGTACGCGGATGGTCCGTGCATGACCCACGTATCGAAGGTCTGGTCCGCAGTTCCGCTGTTCTCGATGAGGCCATCGCCGTCCGTGTCGAACTTGCTGGAGCTCTCCATCACAGCCACGCACGTCTGCCACATGTCTTTCAGGTAGCGCATGTCCGAGCCGAAAAGCTTGAAGTCGCGATACACCTGCACAAGCGCCATATTTGTTACATGATCGGCGGTACAGAGGAAAGATAGCGCGATACACCTGCACAAGCGCCATATTTGTTACATGATCGGCGGTACAGAGGAAAGGTAGCGCGATACACAGCACAAGCGCCATATTTGTTACATTATCTGCTTCAACAAAATATGGTAGGTAAACTGCATTCGAACATATATGCTTACTACGAGATAATGCATGGATTTGATCCTTTAGTTATAGTGCTAAAAAGTCATCATGATTCGTGTAAGAAACGTAACAGTAATAGACAGTTTGATGGTAGTAATAGACAGTTTGAGGGTCTAAATTTTGATTCTTGCAAGTCAAAATGAACTACGCAAATAAGACGTAGCTTGCGACGAGACCAAACGAAAACAATGTCATTTTCGCATTTGAATATTTCAGCCATCTCGACATGTTCCCATGAACCTAAGTGAACGGGCTTCTACATTTTGTTATAAACTCATATCGCACGATCATTTCATGACTCGCTTGCAAACACTGAAGCTTCAATCAAAAGCCACGTTAATGCAAACTTTGTCAAGGCAACGCATAGGTTCCTGACTAAGTTGGAAACTATTAATCAGAGAAATAATAGGGTTCAATACCAAATTATGATCTAGTTCTGAGACCACTGAAATGATATATTAGTAAAATGATGACCAAACAAAATAAATTGATATGAACCAATAAAATAAAGATAGCACAATCAGACGGAAATTAACCTGATCCTTTCTCAGAAAGGAGCGAAATTGTGATACTAACTGTAGCTTAGACCTGAGCGGCACCTGAAGGAGCGGGACCCGAAACTGATACGTCCGAAACCCATACTAATGATACTAGGAAACTATACATACTAATGATACCAAGGAAACCAAGTGCTGAACAATGTAGCTTAGAATAAAATACCTGCAGAATAAACTTCAGGTTCAGGTCCCGCCATCCCTTGACGTCATGAGCGATGTAGGCATTGATGCGAGAGAACGGCTCGTCTTCTGCAAATTCAGAAAACAAAAATTGAGAATTACAAGGGAGAAGACTAATTTTCAAATATTTACAAGCTTCAAACTCATCGGCAGCGACAATCTTCTGCACATGCATCACAAAAAGCAGTTATTCATTTCGCATTAAATTGAAGGCCTTTTAAACGTTGGAAAAACGTCACTCAGTCTCGCATTTTAAGCTCAAAAAAACATAGTCGAGCAATCAAACTCAGCCTCTTCATGGGAGCGACATATTATGTTTAGATTTATTAAGTAATAAACCTAATTATGGCATTGATAACGACCTATTGGTTTAGTTACCAGGGTCCCCGATGTCATGTGGGACTGTGTTGGGAGCTTTCCTTGTGCCAGAGTTGCCAGATATGATGTACGTTCGGAGTGTAGTGTCCTCCTGCATGGAAAACATGGCCATGTCGTACTGAAGGACGCGCTGCAGCTCCGGCCACAGCATCACCAGCGCCCATGACGCGTAGAAGTGAACGTCGTACGTATTGTACATGCGGTACTCGTGCGACTCCAGGTATGCGAACCGTCCGTACTCCAACCTGCAAAAAAGATCATTCCAAAATTCGAAGAGCAAATTAAATACCTGTCCCAAAGAGTCATTCAAAAACTTGAATTGTAAATGGGTAAATTTCATACCTATAGCAAAAAATTTCACCTGCCAAAACGCTATGCATACTTTTGCACAATAAGATAACTCAGGCATTAGCAGGACCCCAGAGAGCTGTTACGTCAATATTTGGCCTACTACTGTGGAGGCCACACACAGTACCGACCGCGGGTCGTGGCTTGGGAAGCTGGAAGCTTCGTCGTCATCAACGTCGAGCCAGACCGTCCCCCCGTCAGCGACGTAGTAGAGCTGGTTGAACAGCGCGCTCTTGAAGAACTCTGGCAGCTTCCTGAGAGGATAAACAGCTCGGAATCTTTCCGAACACAGCCACGTGACACATGCTGCTGATTCAAGTGCTTCTAAGTTTTAGGCTAATGCACACACAAAACTAAGTATATTTAATCGAGACAATGATGCAGATAATAAATCTTTAATGACTTAACAAAAATTTAGACGGTTTGGAGCCACGGCGTATCATATAATATCTGTAAAGAGATGTAGTTGGAAGATAACTTTACTCACGGCTCGTCAAGTATGGTGCTCTGCCAAGCGTCGATTTGCGTCTCCCAGTGGCGGTAGCGCTGGAGCGCGTAGCTCGCAATCGCGGCGGCAGCATCGGTACCGCTGAACCAGCGTGTATATCGCCTGTAACATTTGTTAAAGGTTTAGAAAGAACGAATAATATTGAGGATGATATATACTTGGTAGCCAAACCAATAATAGTGCCGCTTGAAATATTAGTGAACTGATTTAGGATAAGTCATTAACTCTTTCGCGAGCAAGTTCAAAAATGTGCAAAAACGCACCGTTTGTGCTGACGCGTTCTCGCCTTGAAGGAAACGACGGGCATGTCCCAGGACAGGGCGGTCTCGAAGCTGCTTGTCCCGCCAGCAGGTACCATCACTTCACAGTTCAGCGCCACCGCCAACTCTGATACGGGAACTGCCCACAATAAAATGATTTAACATCCTGCAATGGAAGAAATCTTTACACCACACAAATTACTCTGCTCAACTACCGCTAAGTGAATACGGATTTACACAGAGTAATGCAATATAAATATTTTGCATATAATTGGTTAATGTTCTACGTAGTAACTGGCCTGCCAAAATCAAAATCATTCAACCAACGTTAGAAAAAGGCATGTCATCACCCAAATAACGGTTGATATAAATTTTGTATATAATTGGGCAGTTTTTTGTATGTAACCATTGACGCTGGATCCCATCATATTGCCCAGTTATAGTTCAAATTCTCAATAATGTGTTGAAGTTTCGCAATTAAGCGACTCAATTTCTTGCATGGTGATTGGCTAATGAGCGACTCAGGTGATTGGCTAATATTTTATTGGTCACAGAATTTTCAGCACATGGTGCCAGAACTAGTGACTCAACGAGAGAGGAATTCAACAATGTCAGTATTTGTTTTCTTACCAATCTTCTACAGCTATTAGGTTGACTAAATAAATTTGAAGGTGTATGTACAAACTAAAATACTATAATTTTCAGTAAATCTTGTGGAGATAGGAATACGGCCAACACATTTCAAACGAATTATGAGAAGCTGGATATGTCATGCAGAAAAACTGCCAGCATCACTCGTACACTTTCAGTGCGGCAGGAGAAGCACTATGGTTTATGCTTTAAAAATAGGTTGAGTTTCGGCGGGAATAACTTATAGACAAACTAAACTCTATGCTCTTTTTGTGCCACGAATAAAATTCAAGTAAGTTATTTATAGAAATGCTAAGCAAAAAATTCAGTTCTAGTTTACATGATGGTTAAAATTGGAGACCGCGGCTAGAGGAGTTTAGTGAAAAGGATCACGTCTCGCTAACAAGGCTTACAACGAACACAAATATTTTCTAACACAAGCAAATGGAGCTTGTGAGATAGAAATAAAAAATAAGGTAGAATAAGGAAGCTTGCGCCCATTAGCATTAAACAGAAGAGTGAGCCTCACTAATAATTAAAAATTGAACTTCCTTCACCAGTAAGCTGAGACGAGCTATTTTAGCATAGCTGCTAAGTAGAGCGATTAAATGAATTGGCTAGAACAATTAATAAAAGAAATACGCGCGAAATTCACCAATAAAAATCCGGGATCCAAATTAGTTGATGCAAAGAAGTTTGATTTAATGCAAAAATCGAGGGATTTTTAGGACAGGGATTCCTATTATACAACTGAAAACATCAACAGCCTATAATGTTTATAATCTACACTCTACAGTGTACCATGGTTTTATATTGACGGAATAAAAATACATAAACAGGACGATAATGGTAAATTTGAAGTATGATTCTTGCGATTGATAGTAAGCAAAGAAGACGATAAATGAATACGAATTACGGCACTAGCAGCTAAATAAGTCGTTCAAGGAGCATCACCAGACTGGGAGGGGAGGACGACGACCGCGTCATTCTGACGCTTGCAGCAGTAAAGTGAACACCCGCAGCACTTAACGAAGTTAAAATTTGTTTAACTAGAGTGGAAGATGAGCATCACATCACCGTGTGTATGCATGAGGTCACTACCATCATGATATGGTGACGACACAATGTCACCAACGTCGTACAGTGATGACACGAGGTCACCAACATCATATAATGATGACATCATGTCACCCTGAACATGTATGGTGATAAAAATGCAACGCCTTCAATTGAATTAGCTACCACTTTCTCTTCACTATTTCTGTTTGCACGGAAAAAAGCTGGTGCAGTAATTATTAATTTTATGTCAAGAAATAACCGATTTAACCTTTAATCCTTGGGATTTATGCGCCAGGCAAAATAGATACTGTTGTTTCCAGTACAAATTCTATTGGTTTTGAGAAAGGTACATTCAGTGAGGTAGAATTTATGAGTAATTAATCAGAAATTATTGATACTTATATTCCAAAAATGTTTTTAGTCATCACTTCTATCAATAAATCGATAACAATATACAGTTTTACGATAGGCACACCAAACAACCGAAGCAATAACGTCTGATAAATAATTCATTAATTACATAAAAATACTAATTATACAACACGTAAAGCAACATTATATTACAATATTACAATCAACAACATCAACATGCCAAACAAGCGTTAAATTGGTATCCAAATAAGTACTATCTCTATGGTTCCAAAAAACTTTAGGTAATTAAACTGTTAATTAAAATGTCAAGTAATAATTCAATAAGTATTGAATAACTTAAGCAGGCTATACCAGTTTTGTTGGTGATAGATAATCTTTGAGATTTTAGACTCCCGTCACCCCAAATCCAGTCAATAATTTTGACAATAGTACCTCAGTTTAAGAAAGGCGCATTATAACCCATATTAAGCAGACTTTCATTCAAATCAAAGTTTTCTATCTAAATTAAGCTTAGAGTACTATATATTAATCAATTGGTAGCAATTTAACAATCAGAATTCACATTGCCCATCCTTTTTAGCGCATTTTCTTACTTATGAAAAAATGCACTATTGTGCTCGCCATGTCCGTCTGTCTGTCTGTCCGTCCGTGACCTCAAGTTTTCGTCGACGAGAAAATGCGCTCTCTGTCACTCACTGCAGTGAGTACCGAGTTATATTTTTTCAATAAGTTTAAGATATTAGCACTGCGAATATATCTTCAGGTCAAAGAAATCAGTGTCATGGATATGCGCTGATACGATCCAAAACAATACGAAAGATTATTGAATAAGAGCTTTACTTCAGATCAACATTAGCATTCAGACAAAACTAAGTAAATTGATTTTCATAATTGCTAAATTAATCTCAAATTACGGCCGGTATTATTTGCATAAGCTGAGGAAAACAATTTCCTCACCAAGATGTATATATTTTTTCCAAGGCAAGAACCCAATTTCAACGATCGGGGATGCTCGTCTACAGCGCCATATATAACACAAACATACTTTATTAACTTCAAGTTGTGGTCATTCCTGTGATTTGAATCACTGCAAATTATATCTGGAATTTAATTCACATGATGAACTCCTTCCAAAATATCTATTGATCATGAATAAAGTTGTTAGTGACCGATCATATGCAAGACCTCACCAGGCGTGGCGGGGTCTGGGGGGGAGGAGAAGGTGGTCTGGAGTTGGCCTGTGGTCTGTAGGGACTTCCAGAGCTCCGCTCCATTCCCGTTGGGGTCGAGAGCGAGGCAAACTGAGGTCTTCACGCCCGTCTGATCGTTGGCAGCAAGCAAATTATTATTATTGTCATTATCATTATTATTATCGTTATTATTATTATTATCATTATCATCAGCATCATTATCACTATTATCATTATTATTCTTATTATTATTATTAGTAAGAAAATAGATACAAATAATCCATTTACGGGCATTTGATGGTGAGTGATTTGAGCTAATAACTATTTAATCTGGGCAAGTTCATGAAAAATAAACATCATTGTCATGTGTAAGCAGCACACTTATCCCTGAATGCCATGCTAATTTAAATTATTAAATTGTAAAATTATCTGAGAGAAGAAAACAATACGTAACAATGAATGAATGTGACGATTATTCAATTCAATCACATTACGTCAATTATACAATGTTATTCTTGAGTGTAGATTAATAAGGACCTGTCGGGGGGCAGCGAGGCAGTAGGTGACGTCAGCACCACGGTATGTGTGGTGCAGCATCACAGCGTCGCTGTCACCACACCTCGTCTCACTCCAGCACGACCCTGAGCAAACAACACTATTGAGGCATGTAGAGATAATAAATGCACGATATGCAACTCTGCTATACATCCATGTCATTGAACACACGGATAACTGAATTAAATTATTAGATCTGATACATTGCAGTGTTGAATACCAATTAATTTCAACCAAGGAGAATGGCCAATGAGGGAATTTCAACCAAAGAGCGAGTGATAAAAAAAATAGTTTACTAAAAATTTAGAAATAATCCAACAATATATTTACATGATTCATGAAAAGTCACAGTTTATTGCAATTTTTTTCAAATGATAGAGCAGAATAATTTACTATCATCAATCAATATTTTAAGTAACAGGAGTGCTATACCCTTGACGTCGTCTGGGCCCCCAGTTCCGTTCTTGAAGGTGTTGCAGATGGAGACTTGCAGAGCCTGGCTGCTCGAGTTCTCCACAGTCCACACAAATACACCCACTGGCAAACACGAATCCTGTATGAAAATAACAATTTTTAATACACTTTGCACATGATGAATACTCTGCAGGACTTCCATGATAGAAGAAACACAATGTAAATTGTAATATTTATGAATTGTTCCCTATAGAAAACTAATTCATTCAAAAAGAGTTTCTTACTGAAACATAAGTCTTCTCAAAAAACAATTAAAAAAAAACAGAAGTACGGTATTCATTTCATCTTGACCTTTCTTATTTTGAATATAATATACAGAAATTTTATGTAAAATAATGACAGGTGACATGACTTCTTGCACAACTTCTAACACACACTTATAAGTGCATATTGCAAGTAGCCATAAATGTGTATGCTCAACAAAACATAAGTACTACACTACATTACTTTGAACAACATTAATACAGCTTGCATAGTAACACATAAGCAGCCAGATCAAACTTTGCACGATTTATATTATTAACACAATTTTAATTGCACTCACAAATAAACGACTGATGCATGTTGTTGAACTGTATATTCCATTCACAGTGTAAAATTACCTTGTCAAGCTGATACATAATTTTATGAGAAAATATCCATTTTACCGGTTACCCCATAAATATGCAAACACAACATGCAAAACCATGTTATACAATACTATAGTAAACCAAGCACATAAAAGAGAATACCAACCCATGGCATACCAATATCATAAATAGCAGCAATGAAAGCCCAAATATTTACCCCGGGGTTCTCACCTTGTACTCCCCAGGGATGACAGGGGAGACTTGTCTCAAGATGAGCCGTAACTGCAGTCTGGGGATATCGTACACAGTCCATGAGCGAGGGTAAAGACCACAGTATCTGCCCTGGATCTCACTGTTACACTGCCAGTCCCATGCTGACAATTTGCGGCCTTTGGGGCGACTGAAAACAAATTAAAGGAATCTTATTAACTTGATGTTGTACACAAACTTTACAGGTTGGTACAACATAAAAAACAAATGTATTTGGATAAAATGAATGCATTTAATAAATTTATGTAATGTAATTCTGTGTTGCATAATTTCTGTATTGTAAGAGGCTTTTAACAGGTAAAAAATGAATTTACGAAGTTTAAGTCAGTCATGAACCTATTAGCTTGCACGAGGAAAACATATCTTTAATTTAAATGTATCGGTTTGAAAATGAGGCAACTCATAAATGATTCCAAATTTCTTTGAGACATTTTACAATGTGAAAATAGGTAGAATCTAATGATTATTCTAAACAATGTATTTCAAAAAATAAAATTTGAAGAGTTACCAACTTCACACATTATATGCCATTGATCAGTTAAATGATCCATAGAAAATGATCACTATCACATTGCAGTTATACAAGGAAACAGAATTGGGTATGTTAAAATGAAATACGACTGAACAGAACCAAAATAAAGGCTAATTGCTAGGAAGCATACTATCCAAAATTTCTCCAACACTCAATACCTTGAAGGAGAAAGCACTTTCTGCAGTAGAGTCTTGCCCGCCTCTGATCTCACTGTGAGGATGAACTGATCAGCTGCAGCTGTGTTGAAATCAACATTTCCTGGGGTCATTTGGAAGCGGCAAAACTCACCTCTGAAGCCTCGACCGATTGTGCCACATCCTATTCCACCCAGAGGAACACCTGAAACAGTTGACATTTTTTGGTGAGATTTTTCTACAAAAGATCAAGCTAATTATTTGAGAGAACTTATCTGCATTCTGATATTTTGACATTTTTCCCTTACTGGCAACAAGTGGAGTCTTTTTGTTTCATTCAATGAAACATGTTTGCTCAGTATCATGGTTGATCAATATTATTGGAAAATAATAAAATCGTTCACGTGAGAGCTAAAATACATTGCATTTCTCAAGATTTACAACAATCAAGCTCAAAGAATTTAGCACAGAAGAGAATAACAAAATTGTGTTCTTACCATACATGCACTTGCTGGAAACCAATCTGAATAGGTCAATGAAGGGCTTCTTTGACTTCAGAATTGAAGATATAAAATGCTTCAAATACCTAATAAAAAATAAAAAGTTACAATTGTACACAAGAAACTTCATGACTGAATTATATACATTATTGTCAGAGAATGCACAATTTGTGGTAAAGAATCATTCTTTAATTTGTGATAGTTTATGGCCAGCTGATAAGGGAATTCAAGATTTGTTCCACCATACAATCAATTTCAAATAATATATCAGCTATGAGTACAATTCTTAAATAAGTAATGTTTTACAGCATATAATAAAAATACAACAATAAACTAAATTGACCTGCAAGTCTGCATCTTTATTCACTTAGAAAACAGCTTACCTAACACCTGGTAGTAGCATCTCCATGACCATACCCAGGGGAGGTATAACATAGGGATCCCACTTCTTAGGGAATCTATGATCCAAATCAACTTTGAAGCCATACTTTGGTAAATAGTCATTCAAGGTTTTCAGGACTGAACTTCTCTCTTGCTGCTCACCATTTTCTCCTCCATGGCAGTGACTCTTGGTAATTTTGGTACTTGTTTGGGACATAGCAGTCCCAGGCCACGATGGATCATGACTAAGGGATGATGAATTTGAACCAGGGACTCCATTAAAATTAGAAGGTTGCTTTTCTATCTCAGGGCTACCACCAGTATCCTGACTGAGGCTGCCCATTGAGGCAGACTGACTTGGTCCACCAGTGCCAGCATTCTCACCTGACTCTTCAGTCTCATTAGTCATTGAAAAATATTTAATTTAGATTGAAATTTAGAAATAAATTCATATATTGTTTTCCAATAATGATGTGGAACCTGCTCAGGTAATAAAATCATAGATTAATTAGTAAAGAAGTGCTGTTTTAATTTAATCTACTATGCTTAGAATATATGTGGTACCAATAAAGCTGAAAATAAATCTTTTTGCTGTTGTTGAGTTGTGCTGCAGTTACATGCTTAGTCTCATCTTAAAGCTGACATTCTCAGCTTTCCAACGATACTACTGCGATCCATGTATGGCAATATTGACGCACACAGCCGGGCTCTAACGGGGGGGCGGGGGTGGAGTTCCTTCAGTAAATAGACCTAAGAAAATTACAGTGGCAAGACTACATATATTGGTGTATCTGGCATCTGAGCTCAGTCACCCTCCTAACTTTGTACGGAGAGGTGCGCTACAAGTTGCTGCTAGCATCCTTGAGTGGACTAAGCTACAGAAGCCTGTAGTTTGGTATCCATGCTACATTGAGTGCCTATATCGAGGCGCGCGAGACTTTGTCACGCCGTCCTGAAAAGTTCAACTTATTCAACTTATTGTCACGGAAAACCTATCTCCTCCTACAGTTTTCAAGCTACAGCAATGAGAGTTATATCACTCGATTCGTAATGACTGTATCTATCGACCTAGCCATCGATTTTTTGAATTTGTGCATGGTTCGTCTTATATATGGGGGAGAAGGGGGGGAGATTGTGAAAAAAGTGGAAAAATGGGAAAAATGCACATAAAAAATAAATATGGGGAAAATGAAAAAAAGCGATGGCTAGGTCGATAGATATTTATGAATCGAATGATATGCGTCTGGATGTTGTAGGACGATATTTGTAGGAAGAGACAGATTTTCTATAGGTAGTACTCGTTTCTGTACGTTTTCTATGAATATCACGTTTTCTATCAATTTTTTTGAAAAATTCATAGGAGCAAAATGTTCTTCTTTTTACATTTTACGTATGTATGTGAAGTTTCATGATGATTGGATAATAACTGTAGAAGTTCTTCCGGAGGGCAGTCGGTCCCCTTAAATCATTATTGCAATTTATACTATGGCATACTACACAGAGGTGGGCAGTAGCGCGCTACATGTAGCGGCCGCTACTAGCAGCCGCTACATTTTCAGTAGCGGTAGCGGTAGCGCCCGCTACATATTTAAGTAGCCATACGAGGTTTTGCCGCTACAGCGCTACCGCTACATTTATAGATAAAGCCTTCAGATTTTACTTAAGGGGACAGGCTACCCTCCAACAAAACTTTTTTGTTTACAGACAGATCGTTTTGGAACTTGGTACACATATGTAAAACTGAAATCTAAGACCTTTTGGTTCATGTAAATTAAAAAAAAATGAAAGAAAACGTGGAATTAATAGAAAACGGCATATAAGGGGTACTCTAAAAAAGTTTATAACTTTAGCAAATCACATGCTACAACATCTAGCGACTGTAGAGCCCTGATTTTTTATTTTCCTTGTCATTTTTTTTCACGTTCTTCCCATTTTTTTCACATTTTTACCCCCCCCCCACCTTCCTCCACCTCCCATATATAAGTCAAACCATTTGCATATTAAAAAAAAGGCTTCTAGAGTCGCTAGGTATTGTTTTTACAAATCGAATGGTATGTCTCTCATTGCCGTAGCTTGAAAACTGTTCTAACCCTGGGGTAACCCATACTAGTTTGGTTAGGTTAATTGCAATAAAGTTGCATTGATATGTTTTAAAAATGTTTTATTATCATTAAATGTTAATGAGTAAATCCCAATAACAGAACAATATATATTTAGAGATTTCCAATAATTTTGGCCAATGTAGCGGCTAATGTAGCGCGCTACATTTTACTGTAGCGGTAGCGGTAGCGCCCGTTACAATCTAGTGTGTGTAGCGGTAGCGGTAGCGCCGCTACATTTTCAAGTAGCGCTGCCCAGCTCTGATACTACATAATATAAATTATTTTAATGATAGTTAAAATAAACTATGGCTGCTACTGTGATAGATTTCAAGACACGTGTGATTATAATCGCAATCAGTAAGAAGAAAACCATGTGAAAATACCATGATGTCATGTTTGAAGAAATTTTGTCTTTTTCTTAAGTAGGTACCATCAATCTGGGTAATAAGTGACGGCTTGAGCATTTTACGTTAAGAACTTCATACCATGAAACATTTCATAAACACGTTTGGGCTCATTTTTAAGCTCTTTGGGAGGGCAATTGAATGGCATTTCTGAAAAATTCCATATGCTATTTACAAGGTGCCAAAAAGTGTCCAGAATTACCCCTGGGGTAAACCAGTACACTTGAAATAAAATTTAATTTTAAAATGTTTACAGCATTCAAAGTGTACTCATCCATTACTAACAGTACTCTGAAGTCCTCCTCTTCCTTTGTAGATGATGTAGATGTAGAATAAATGACATTTTCTGTTTTTTCTTGTTTTCCTTTATGGATATGATATTACCATATTCATTCATTACCATATTGTTGATGTAATACTACCATATCCATGAACATGCCATCAAGAATTACAATGACCTTGTTCACTGCAAGCTTCATTTCTTCTGTATCAGTAAGCTTACAAGATGGCTTGTAATTTCACACCATTTTAATTGGGTTAAGTGAATTCATTATAACAAAAAAGATTGTAAAAACACACCTGAAACAGAAAGGAATATTTTAGTGAGTAGTGGCAACTGGCAACCATATTTTTTATATCATATCATATTTTTTGGAGAAATAAATCATAGTTCAGGTTAATTAGTACTTTTCATCCTATGAGTATGATGCCCAGTGCACAATTCTATCCATGACATTGACATTCTATGCACAATTTTGTGATGACAGATAATGCATGAATTTTTTGTTTGGTGAAATGTTTTTGCTGAATGAGGTAAATGTTCTCAAAATTCTTTGTTGTTAATTAATTTGTTAACTGGAGCCTTCGCTAACTGAGGTTTTACTGTAAATGCGTACCCTTAATTGGACCCTTATTACCTCGTGCAGAAATGGCTGCCATATTTTTTTTTATCAAGCGATGCAAATTCCCTTAATCACGTTTTTAAGTCAACACCTGAGTGCAACTTTTGGGTAAGTAAAATTTTTTAATACACATTTTTCCAGCAATTTTTTTCCTACTTTTCCAAAATCTCACTTCTCACACTATTTATTCATGGATTTCTTAAAGGTAGTAAATGTAGTATGATTTCTTAACTTGCTTTATGCTACATAGTAATAAAACAAAGATCTATAGAAAAAATTTTGAACTTTATGCCACTGTTTTTAGTTTTGCAATATTTCAATTAGTTTAGTTGCTCCAACACTTCTATGAAATGTGGAAGGACTGTCCTGGCCTGATAATAAACCTGATTTACCCCACTAGTCCCTTATTACCCAGTTTGTTAGTATATTACTGCCATCACTGGTACTGTAGTCATCTTACTTGTGTCTTGTATTACAGATATAGGGAACTTATTTATTTTTTCACAAACTTCTTTGATCAAAATTCAATAATTCTAGGGTAAAAAAAATGTTGGTAAGAGAATCAAAATATCACAAGACAATGGCAGAATATTGCTTGCAACTGGTTATTTATTTATCGGGCATGTGACATGCAGTCAAAGCATCAGGAAACAGGACTGAGAGTCTGAGACACTTACAGCCTGTGAATCTTTTTTTTTTTTTTCGCAGTTTGCGGGAACCTCTGAAGACTAGTCCAATGCGGCCCCATGACCGAGTTTTAAGTTATAGTTGTCAGAGTGCCTTTTTAATTGGCACTTGGCACTTTATCATTAATCATTACACAACCTGACAACCCTGCTTAACTCAAACTCTCATTAGCACCTGTTGAAGAGAACACTCCACAGCGGAGCCATGGAACACGGCAGTGCCATGAAACACAGCAGAGCCGCAAAACATGGCAGAGCCGTGTAAGATCTTTTGTAGGAACATTATTCATGAAACTAAGGGTTTCAAAAATTGCCTACAAGTCAATAGATTCCCAAAGCCTGGGTTTCCCACATTGATCTATATACTCATGAGCCTCCTCAGGTAGGTGGACCAACAACCAATTGAAACTGTGCATCCCAGTGCTGAAGAAATTTAATAAATGACTTGGTAATTAAGTAATTGAAAGACAATGGTGCCCCCACCCAGGACGATGACAAAGGGAAGAAGAGGATGCCCAAAACGAAACAAAACGAAAGAAAGCAGAGCCTCTCTCCCCCCGCGAAATCCATCCCCAAGTAACACACACTAATTTAATATGCACAAAGAAAATCAATTCAGCACCAAAATGCAAATTCAGATTATATTCAAACAATTCTATTGCCCAGTCCAAAGCAATGTCTATTAATATGAAATTATGTAAAATGAAAATAATAAAATATATAAATAATGAAATAGGAAGGAATCAACACTAAGAAAGAAATTGAATAAAATAAAAATTCCCAGCCTAGTTATTGCAATATCAATGCCCTGAACTGAGCTTCACATGAGTATGCACAAGTTACTGAAGGTCCAACCTGGAGCTTCTCAACACGTTGACTCCGATTGCTTCATCTTGTACTATTATTTCATTTATTGTACTTTTTTTTAAGCAGGGTTGCCAGACGGTCATTTTTTCCGGACAAATTCCGTGATTTAGTTTTTCTCAATTGCGTTGGCCGGCTAAAATTTATGTTTAAAAAATTAAAAATGTGACCCACAAAAAAAACATTATTTAAAGACTGTCGGAGTACCCCCTCCAATTTTTTTATTTTTTGGCAAAATAACTCCAGGTTTTGATGCATTGTAGTACAACTCTTCTAGTTGCATATGCAACAAACAAATTTTAGGAAAGTCTCATAGTTTGCAAATGGGGGGCACTGCCCCCCAATGGGGGAACTTAGACCACCTAATGCCAGCCCTGACGGGGTAACATAGACCGGATAGATAATTAATTTAAAATGACCATATATAATATATTTTATGTTTGATACACCTATTAATGTATTTTCTTTATGTTTCAGACTCTAATTATTATCAGATATGGGGCCATACTTTCAAAAC